ATCTTTCCTTAACTGTATATTAAGGTTGTCGCACGGTAGAACTTCACCCATCTAGGAAAACTCCAATTGTGGCAGACTTCATTTCAACACCATTTCTGAACTTCCGGGTCTTTGTTTATTCATTTTAACTCCATAAAATGCTAAGAGCCAAAATTTGTAAAACAATATATATTTGTTAGGGTTTTGCTCACGAGAATTTCAAAGACATTTTTAGATTGTTATAAATAATTTCAACTTTTGTGCATTTCTTTATAAAGGCGACTAATTTTATTAAAATATATATGACATTATAATAAAGATTTATGTAAATTAAACAGATAATAAGAATATTTTTCTATAATCATTAAAGCAAATAACTATTAACTTAAGATCACACAATGATTAGGAAAATGTTAAAAATTACTAACAAAAAGCCTCGAACAAAAGATAGACACGAACAAATCTGACCGTATCGACAAATAACCGTAAAAGGGTATCAATGAACCTACTGAAATATCACTGACAAATCGTAAATCAGAGTTGAGCGAGATGAGAAAACTATCAACGAACGCAAATCATTCAAATCCAATCTTAAGGTCTAAACATGGAAGATCATCATGATAACAAATAAACATCATCTTGATCAGTCACGACAGTGTCAAATTAAATCATGAGAAAAAAGATAACAAAATAATAATCAACAACTGAAAATGTGCCAAGAGTAAAGAAAAAACTTGTTATAAAGATAAAATTATAAAAAAATTAAAAAGTAAAGATATGATATAAAAAATAAAAAAAATCAGTGACAACTATCAGTATTAAAATTGATGTAATCTATCAATTAAAGATGAAAAAAGAGATAAGTGAATTTATAGTTTTTTTTAAAGAGGACAATGATTTATAATAGACTTAAGACAAAAAATCAATGTCTAAATTATATTCTTTTTCTCATTTAGTTGTTTAATCTATTTTTTTTGTCAATCCAATTACCTAACGTCATAGATGTTATCATTTTAAGTGTACTGATTATAATACTCATTCTAAAAACTTTATTTAAGTGGCACGTACCATATTTACATTTTTTTTTGAAATTTTTATATAAAAAATTAAAAAATTATTTCAAAAAATCCTTTGTAGGAAAATATCCTAATTCCTCCCCCACCTTTTAATGTTGAACCTTTATGATATTAAGAAAAGTTAGATAGAAAGATAAGAGATATTAAACACTTATTTTTTATGTTAAACCTTTATGACATTAAACATGAATTAAAGTGACCTCCGTGATAAATAAATTATTATTATTTTTTAGGATCTAGGGTCGAGCATCATAGATGCCAAGGGTGTGAGCGATTAACATCGAAAGGTTGAGAATTATCTTTTAATAGATACTGTCATGTACTTATCTCATATTATTTAAAAAAATAAATAAAGAGATGGAGGAAACGAATTATAAAATTGTATTTTTGATATTTTTTGTCTTATAATATTTTATTTTAAATTTTCTTTGTATTTGGATATATATATAGCTGTTTCTTTCATGGCATCAATAATTGTCTCCTCCATTTTATGGTGAAAGAAACCTAATTAATTACAATGAAAGATAAGTTTTAAAATTACAGATATTATGTTCAGGCTTGGTAGGTATGGAAACCGCTAAATTCTGCCTGTATAGCCTGTGTTCCCCTCAAAAAAAAAAAGGATAAACTACATATTTAGTCACCCATTTATTTTTACGATTTTATTTTAGTCACCTAATTATTTTATTTTAAAATCATATTTAACTTTACGTTTTTGTTCCGTTTTGGTCATTCACAGCTAAAAAAAATAAACAGAATTGTTGTAGTGATAAATTTTAAACATTTCAATGATGATGTGGCATTACCTTATGGTGTCATATCAAAATCATTGTTAATTTTAACAGAGAATTACCAAAATATAACATTAGATATTATTTTGAAAAAATAATTAAGTGATCAAAACGAAATCACCTAAAAATTTAAAAAAAAACCCAAAATGGTAAGAGTTTTACTTTGAGCCCAGTAAAGTTGGGCCATCAGTTTTATGTGATATTGAAGTTTGGGGCATCCACCAGCAACAGTACTGGTCCATGCCGTTTTGTGTCCTGCAGATTTTAAACCAGACTCGACAATATTAAACATGATATCGAATATGACATGATAAAATTGTAATATAAAATAGCAACAATAAGTTCGAATCACAACGTTTGTGAATAATTAAAATTTAATTAGAGGATTATCTTTATCTTTGTAAAATCTAATTTGATTAATTGATTAATATATCATATATGATAAAATTCTTTATAAAAATTTTCAATTCATTGTTATGTATATAATTATTATTTATATGTAGTTGAGAGTAGAACTATAATTTTAAAACCTACCAAGCAAAGGGTCCTAACTCTTTAACTCCTAAGACAACAACCTACAAATTCATAGTGGGGGCATTAATTTCATACCTACAACTATCACTACTTTTAAGCACCTCAAAATCAAATGCATTGTTTTAAAATTCTAAAAGATAAGCATATGACTTAGGTGGTTAAGGTTATGTTATTATTTCTAGAGATCTTGAGTTTAGCATAACGTATGTAGGGATGTTCAAATGTTTATTGTCAAATGATTCAGAGTCTTTCGAAGAAATATTATATTGCAATCATTTCATAATAATAAAAAAAAGTTTTCCAAAAAAAAGTGTATATATATATTTTTATTTGAATAATATATAAATTATTAATAAAATTTATGTTATTTATTAATTTCATAGAAATAATATTATTAAATTATTAATATTGAACAATATTATTTATGTATTTAATATTAATATAATAATCTAATAATATTTCAATAAAGATATTTAAAATATATTAATTAATACTTTTTAAAATATAATATAATACTATTACTTTTATAAATAATTAATATAATTTATAATATTTTTATTTGAATAGAATGTATTAATCTTAATATTTTTATTAATAAAATTATAGAAATAATATTTTAATAATAATAAATAAATTATTCTAATATTTCAAAAAATAATAATATTAAGTTCTTATGATAAATAATATTATTTATTGTATTTAATATTTGTAATAAATAATATCTAAAAGATTATCAACCCGTGAAAAATGGTTGACACAATCTCTTTCAAACACCATAAAACGTTTCCCACAAAATGTTTTCCAAAAAATGTAATTTATTTTATGGGAAATTTTTTTTGGAATATGTTTTTAATGAAACAACCGAACCCAAAATGTACTTGGATGAAAATAATTGAATACTTTAGGTACATGTTTTGACCAAAAAGATAATTTTAGGTGTTAATTTTGACCAAAAAATACTTTAGGTACTTAAATGAAAAATATAATATACTTTAGGAACGTTATATAAGCCAATTTTAAAAGAAGAATATTGTTCTCTTTAAGTGACGGGTTTAATTATCTTCATCGTCAATAATTAAAAAAAATTATAAACATATTTTATATTATAATTGCCCTCGACTATTAAAAAGAAGAAGAAGAGTGTTATACTCTACCTAAACTAGTATAGTAAACTCGCTGTCGAAACGATTTTTAAACCTTTGAGGGAGCGAGATTTTGAAAACCGCATCATTTTTAAATTATGATCTTTATGTTTGATTTTTTTATTAAAAATAATGTGATTTTGGAAAACCTCTCGTTTCGAAAAATTTGGGATTTCTTTTACGATAAAAACGGTTCGAGGAGTCGCCACCAATCTTTGATTAGGGTGTGATTGGACACCCAAAAATGTTTTGCCATTTTAAATAAAAAAATTAATTTTAATTAAAATAACAAATTTAGGTTTGCGTTACCAAAATTCGAGTTCGGGAGTCGGTTACGTGTGGGGAAGGATTAACACCCCCACAATGCCCTAAATCGATACCTAGTCAATTAATTAGTGTCTTTGCAATGAAATTTACAAGTTCGATTTTAATTTGATTTATAATCCCCAACAAAACAATAACATACAAATTTTACTATACTTAAAAGCACAAAAAGTGATTAAGTTAAAATTACCCAACCATTAGAAAGATAAAGGATATTCGATTATTTATAAATATCGAGACCAGATCTTAAATAGTTATAACAACTTTTGCTCGATAAATTTAAATAGTCGAACATTTCTTTATCTTTCATTCCCAAATTTTAAAGTAATGAATCAATTTCTTAGGTGTCATTGCTCTAATAGTTAAGACAACCCTCTAATAGTTAAGACAACCCACTTAAACGAATTTAAATTAAAAGGGTATTACCCTTAGTCAAATTATGTAATAATGTCGAGTTATGCTCATGAGAATACCATGCATAAACTAATTAAAATATGCCATGCATTCAAACAAACTTCTAAGTCTATAAAAATATTTACGATGCATTTATGAATTTTACTTTACAAAGGAATCATTTATTCTTAACGTTTTAAAACTATCACGTTCATATTAATACGCTACAAAGGCTTTTATTCTAAATCAATTAACATCCGAATTAATATTTATCTTATTTACCGGGACCTAAAATAAAATATGATACCAAGGTATACATGCATACAACAAAATAAACATGCATTCAAATAAAACAATATAAAATTAAGTATGCAAAATTGCAATGAAGGACAAAAATGACAGAAAACCAAAACTGGGTATGCAAAATAGAAATCAATCTCTGAAACAAATAAACCTGATGAGTGACTAAATTATCAAGTATCCAAAATTACAGGTTACAATCGAAACAGACATAAATTTAAGAAACACGGTAGTTTAGGACTAAAACTGAATGCACGGAAAATAAGAAGACCAAATTACCAGCACAAAACTTCTATTCGAGGACTAAAATGCAACAGATATAGAACTGATGGATCTCATGCCTGATTCCCCCTAATACCTAAGACACGGCTGATGTTCTAATCCCAAAACGTCACCGTTTCATCCCCGCCTAATACTACGTCATTTTGATGCTTCAATATGAGATGACCTAGGGTAAACTTAAAATCCTAACTCATTTTCCTCTCCACTCTAACCAGACGAACCCCTCAGCCGTTCTTCGTCTCTCTCCTTTCTCTCTCACACTTCTCATTTGCGATCCTAAAAACCCAAAGCCTTCGCGGCCTCCGCCCTCTAACGACCCCGATGAGGAGTCACACCGGTGTGAACCCTAAAATCTAACCCCCTAAGAACATAAACTCTTAATCTCCTCTTCAAAACCCAGACGAAACGAAAGCCTCCACGGCCTCCACCATACCCCACGACTCCGATGAAGAACCCCTCAACCTCGACGAACCTAGACCTAGACCTTCAGTCTTAAACAAACAACCTAGACACTACAACCACGAATCCACTGCTAACCCAGACGAACCCGAAGCCTAAAATAGACATGCACAACTCGAAATCGACGGGAGACGAAGGACTTTACCTTCTCACAGACGAGGTATGGATTCCTAGCCAAGGCGACAAAAGTTACTGGATTGGGAAGGTAAGTTTCTTGCGTTAGGTTTCTGTTATATGGTTGCTGACGAATGGGTTTTTTTTTTGGTATTTCATTTTAGTGTTTTTCTCTCGTCTCTGCTTGCTGTTTGCTAATGGAGGATAGTTTCTATCTAGATTTCTTCTTTTTTTCCTTTTTTTTTGACCCCGAGATCTCTCATCTTTTAATCTCATTTTGTGTCTGCTCTTGCTGATAATGGATGATTTCTTTACAGGCTTTGTTTTCCCGATGCAGAAAAGGAAGACCCATTCCTCTCGTGTTCCCTTATCGTCGATTGCAGAGTATGGGCGAGCCCTTGGGTGTCACGCTAGCATGGGCGGAGGTATGGGCTTGAGTAGTGGAGTTTGCCGTGGTCTGCTTAGTTGTGGCCTACAAGCATGGATTGATGCTAGGTGGATTCGCGCGTCGACTCGGGAACCCAGGAGTACTGTGAATCGTTGGATCGTGAAGCCAGATCCAACGGTCGTACTATTGCGGCGCTGGGAGCTGCTGGTAAGGAACCCTAATAGGTTTAGGGTTTCCAGAATTGGGCCCGTAACAACTGGGCTATCGAGTCACGGGCTTGTAGCTTTGGCTTGGGCCATTTTGGTTCGGCCTGTTCAGAGTTTAATATTGATGTAGGCCTGTAACAACAATAAAATATTTAGTGCATGTTTTAATTATTTAATTATTTATTGCATATATATATTAAAAATTACTTATAATAATATATTAATAATAATAAACACGAATTAACTTCGAATAAAACCCCGGACAAATCGAGCATCTACAGCTGTCCCTCTTTGCTCATTATCATGTAACGAGAATAGAGCAAAGATCAAAAGATGGTCGAATTTGCCCGGTCATGGAAAATTCAAAAGATAAATCCGCTTCACTAGAACTTCAGGATAAGTGAAATTTTAAAAATTCTTCGAAATTGAGGTCACTCCCTATCGCTTTAGGGAATATGGAACTCGAACAATCTTCTGCAATCAGGTTCATTCCCTCTTAGAGTATGGAACTCGAACAACTCCCTCCTTTTGGAGTATAGAACTCGAACATCTTCAACAATCATGTCTATTTTCTATTCCTTCAGAGAGTATAAGACTTGAACAATCTTCAACAATTGTGTCTGCTCCCTATTTCTTCAAAGAGTATGAGACTCGAACAATCTTCAATAATCGTGTCTTCTCTCTATTTCTTTAGAGAGTATGAGACTCGAACAATCTTTTGGAAATGGGTTCGCTCCCTCTTTCTTCAGGGAGTATAGAACTCGAACAATCTTCTGAAAATGGGTTCGCTACCTCTTTTTTCAGGGAGTATAGAACTCGAAAATCTTTAAACGGGTTCGCTACCTCTTTTTTCAGGGAGTATAGAACTCGAAAATCTTTAAACGGGTTCGCTCCCTCTTTATTCAAGGAGTATAGAACTCGAAAATCTTCAAACGGGTTCGCTCCTTCTTTCTTCAGGGAGTATAGAACTCGAAAATCTTTAACAAACAGGTTCGGTCCCTCTTTCTCTAGGGAGTATAGAACTCGAACATTTTCTTCAAACTGGTTCGCTCCCTCTTTCCCTAGGGAGTATGGAACTCAGACATCGGGTTCGCTCCCTCTTTCTTCAGGAAGTATAGAACTCGAATAACTTCACACGGGTTCTCTCCCTCTTTCTCTAGGGAGTATGAACTCGAATAACTTCAAACGGGTTCGCTCCCTCTTTCTCTAAGGAGTATGAAACTCGAACATCTTCAAACGAGTTCGCTCCCTCTTTCTCTAGGGAGTATGGAACTCGAACATCTTCTTCAAACGAGTTCACTTCCTCTTTCTTCAGGAAGTATAGAACTCGTACATCTTCTTCAAACGAGTTTGTTCCCTCTTTCTATAGGGAGTATAGAACTCGGACATCTTCTTCAAACGGTTTCGCTCCCTCTTTCTTCAGGAAGTATAGAACTTCAATAACTTCACATGGGTTCGCTCCCTCTTTCTCTAGGGAGTATGGAACTCGGACATTTTCAAACGGGTTCGCTCCCTTTTTCTCTAGGGAGTATGGAACTCGAACATCTTCTTCAAACGGGTTCGCTCCCTCTTTCTTCAGGAAGTATAGAACTCGGACATATTCTTCAAACGGGTTCGCTCCCTCTTTCTTCAGGAAGTATAGAACTCCAATAACTTCACACGGGTTCGCTCCCTCTTTCTCTATGGAGTATGGAACTCAGACATCTTCAAACGGGTTCGCTCCCTCTTTCTCTAGGGAGTATAGAACTCAGACATCTTCTTCAAACGGGTTTGCTCCCTCTTTCTTTAGGAAGTATAGAACTCCAATAACTTCACATGGGTTTGCTCCCTCTTTCTCTAGGGAGTATGGAACTCGGACATCTTCAAACGGGTTCACTCACTCTTTCTCTAGGGAGTATGAAACTCGAACATCTTCTTCCGCTTCACTACTTTCTTGTGAAGGCTTAAGTTTGATTTTCTTCGAAGGTTAAACCTGAAAATCAAACATTATCACTCATTAATGTAAGCTTTAAAATATTATACTCAACAATTCAGAGTTCAAGATTTTTTTTGAAAATTTATCTTCATCTTGAAACTTGTTTAAGATCCATTAGATACGAGAATCTATTCGGGCTCAATCGTCGTCATCAATCTTTTCAAGATCACCAAACTAGTTATCCTCATCTTCATACTTCAATATCTTCAATCTTCAACTATCATTGGGAAACCTGTAGCCATTTTAAATCATCATGCAATGCTATGATCCTGTTTATGCCTACGATATATGCAATCATGCAATTTAATGCACTTTCTTTTTCAAAGGAACACTGTCTCCTTTAATCTTGATGGACCTTGGTTTCGTCTTGGGCACAGAACATTTGGCCAGTTCACCCCAGTTGACAATCTCAATACCATGACTTTCGACTTGACAGGGCTTTGACTTCTTTCTTTCTTGAAACCTGTCAGTATTCAGGACCACTTCTTGATAAATAACAATCTCTTTGATTTATCTCTTAATGATTGGGATTTTCTATGAATTCCCAGGTTCTAGCTTCCCACAACCATACAAGCTTACACGTCAAAACCATTATTAGCTTCAGAATACCTGCCTTTTCCAAAACCTTTTGCATAATAATACAAAATGATCTCATGTACCACAAGCTAAGCTATGTGTTTTAACTTTTTCAAAATTAGATGCTTGTAAAAAAAGGAAATTGAAAAGGGAAAAATATCTCTTTATTGATATAAATGCAGAGAATCTTTGGCAACTATATGGAAAACTTTGATTTGAAAACCAAAGGGATAGGTGCCCTCAAATATCAATAACACAAATGTTTTTGAACTGGCACGCTGTTAAAATGACCCGAGTGTAGCTTCTGTCAAAAAGACTTCCAACATTGTGATGATGCCTAAGAGTGAGAAGCTTTTTCTGAACTCCAAAATTTCCCATTATCGGATGCCCTAAACCAGTATTGAATCCCAGGTGCATTCAATTTCTCCCCTAGTTATTTCCATCGAGACTCATTAATCTTTGGTCTCAATCCTGATCACCCACTGTCGTTGCTGCTCATGTCAAGAGCTCTTTTCCACTTCTAAAAACAATTCAGAACCTCCACCATACATGAATTCTGAATCTTAAAACTCAAGCCGCCCTTTGCAGGTTTTCAACTTGAGGCCTCATTTGGTTTCAAGACGCCCTTCTCGAGTTTTCATCCTGAACCCTTATTTTCTTTCTTCTTTTTTTCTTTTTTGTTTTTTTTGTTTTTTTTGTTTTTCATTTTTTTATCTTCAGGCAAAATACCTCTTACCTGCATCAGAATTCACCGGATAGGGTAATTCTAACCCATCCATCTCAGTTAAGAGTAGAGCTCCCCCAGAAAAGGCTTTCTTGACAACATAGGGTCCCTCCCATTTGGGCATCCATTTCCCTCGGAAATCTTTTTGAATGGGCAACATCCTTCTAAGCACCAGATCTCCTTCGTGAATTTCTCGAGGGCAAATTTTCTTGTTGTGTGCTCGTATCATCCACTTCTGGTACATTTGACAGTGACAAATAGCTTTCAGTCTCTTTTCTTCAATCAAATTCAATTGGTCATATCTGGCCTGTACCCATTCTGCCTCATTTAGCTTCACCTCCGATAAAACCCTGAGTGAGGGAATTTCCACTTCAACAGGGAGGACAGCTTCCATCCCATACACTAGAGAAAACAGAGTTGCCCCAGTTGACGTCCGTACAGAATTCCGATAGGCTAACAGAGGAAATGGCAACTTCTCATGCCAATCTTTATAAGTTTCAGTCATCTTCTCTATAAGCCTCTTAATGTTCTTATTAGCCGCCTCCACGGCCCCATTCATCTTTGGGCGATAAATAGTGGAATTATGGTGCTTTATTTTGAATTGCTCACATACAGATTTCATCATCCTGTTGTTTAAGTTCAATGTATTGTCAGAGATAATTCTCTCCGGTAAGCCATATCTGCATATGATTTCCTTCTTCAAGAACCTACATACCGTTGACTGGGTAACACTTGCGTAGGAAGCTGCTTCTACCCACTTAGTGAAGTAATCTATTGCTACCAGAATGAAGCGATGGCCATTTGACGCTTTTGGCCAAACTTTGCCCAATAACATCCATGTCCCACATAGAAAACGACCATAGAGCTGTCATCACATGCAACGGATGAGGAGGGGTATGTATTCTATCCCCATAAATTTGACACTTGCGACACTTTCGGGCATAATTAATGCAATCAGTTTCCATAGTTGACCAATAATACCCAAATCTCATAACCTGCCTGGCCATTACATGCCCATTAGCATGGGTGCCACATATCCCTTCATGTACTTCTTCAAGGATCATTTTGGCTTCTTTAGTGTCCACACACCTTAATAAGACCTGATCCATACTTTTCTTGTATAATGTCTCACCATTAAGCACATATCCTTCTGTCATTCTCCTAATAGTCCTCTTGTCATTCTCAGTTGCCTGTTCGGGGTAACTTTGATACCTTATATATTGTAAGATATCATAGTACCAAGGTCTTCCATCCTCTTCTTCTTCAATGTTAAAGAAGTGGGCTGGATACTCATAAGCCTTCATCTCAATAGACATCATATTTGAATGCTCGTTCATCTTAAAGGCTGCTGCCAAAGTAGCCAAGGCATCTGCTATTTGATTTTCTTCCCTGGGGAGGTAATTGAAAGTCACTTCTTCGAATTCTTCAATGAGTTCCAAGACTAATTTACGGTATTCCACAAGCTTAGGAACTTTTGTTTCCCATTCTCCTGAGTTGGTAAATTACCAAAGCTGAATCCCCGTATACTTTGAGCATTTTTACTCTGAGTTCAACTGCAGCTTTAAGACCCATAACACAGGCCTCATACTCAGCCATATTGTTTGTACAATCAAAATTAAGCCGACTGGTAAACGGATAATGATCTTCATCTGGCGAAACCAAAATTGCCCCAATCCCATGCCCTAAGGCATTTGAAGCGCCATCAAAGTTCATCTTCCAGTATTTATCGGTGGGTGCAATTGTTTTTTCCTCTGAGATAGCCATTAAATCCTCATCTGGAAAGTCGAAGTTCAACGGTTCATATTCTTCAGAAGCCCTACTTGCAATGAATTCTGCTATGGCGCTCCCTTTAACCGCCTTCTGGCTTACATACTGGAG